GTAGGCTCCCTGCCCCAGCTCTATGGAGCTGTGCTCCATCTTTCCCTGGTGGGGGCTTTTCCCTAACCCCACCCATGCTTTGACTGCATCACACATCTTGGTGTGTGCAGAGCAGGCTTCACCATCCTGTCTTTTTCCAGCACTGGGCCTCTTCAAAAACAAACAAAAACAGACCAACAGTTCTGAGCAGCTCAGAACCTGTACTGAGCTCCTCCCACCCAGCTCTACCCTCGGCTTTATTGAAGTCTAACTTACCTTCCATGTCATATTTCTAGTGTAATGAGTTTGGGCAGTGTGATACAGTTGGATAATCACCTTCACGATCAAGGCATTCGACATTTCCCCATTGCCCCTTGGAGTCATTTCTCTTCTACATCACTGGGCTGGCTTCTGACCCCAATTGACTACAAATCTGCTTACTATTACTAGAGTTTTGTCTTTTCCAAAATGAAATAAGGGCTGGAGGTGTACCTCAGTGGTAGAGCACTTGCCTAGCATAGTGAGGTCCTGGGTTTGATCTGCAGTATTGAAAAAACAAACAAAATGTCACATAAATGGAATCAAATAGCCTGTAATATTTTGTGTATAATTTATTTCACTTAGCATGATATTTTTGAGATTCATTCATGTAACATGTTAATAGTTCTTTTTTATTGCTGAGTAATATTCCATTGTATGCATATATCACCATTTGTTTAGCCATTTACCCGTGATGTGAATTTGAGCTGTTTACACTTCTTACTTATATTTGAAAGACTGTTATGAATATTTTAGTACAACTATTTTTATGACTATAAATTTCCATGTCTCTTGGATAAGTAGGAATGTATGTGGACATTCATCATTCATCACCAAAATGTTTTCCAAAGTGGCTGCCCCATTCTGCTGAGACTGGTCTTTAAATACAGCATGGGGAGAATGGAGGTAGGCAGAGCTGCTTTGCTATTCCTTTTTTTTTTCTTGCCAGCACTGGAGTTTGAACCCAGGGCCTCACACTTGCTAGATAGGTGCCTTACCATGTGAGCCACTTCACCAGTTCTTTTTTGTGTTAGGTATTTTAAGATAGGGTCTTGAGAACTATTTCCCTGGACTGACCTCCAACTGCAATCCTCCTGATCTCTGCTTCCCGAGTAGCTACCTCAGCAAGAGAGTCCAACTCCATTTTTTTCTTGTTGTTTGAACTCAGTGCTTTGCTTTTTTTCACTCTTGTAAGGCAGATGCTCTGCCCCTTGAGCTATTATTCTGAAAGCAGAAGTTAGTCCTAGGCATTCATTGCTTATTCCATACAAAAAGCTTATGAAGTAGATCCAAATGCCCTCACTTCACAGGTGAGAAAATGAAAGATTGGAGGGCTGTGCTTGTGCAGAGTCACACACCTAACAAATAGAAGAGCAGGATCTGAACCCCGGGGCCTTCATGCCCCTGTCCTCTCCCACCTTTCCCAGGACCATCCTGGAAGCTTGGGAACACTGTCACCTTGACATGCTTATATTTATCCCCACTGTGCAAAGATACAACCCTGTGAAACGCCTAGGACCTTTTTATCACATGAAGTAGTAAATGATCAAAGAGGTAAAGTGGCTTTCCCCAGGTCAGCAGCTTATAGAACTGCTGGGACCTGAATCAGGTTTCCCAATTCCCAGTGCCCTGAGGCTACATTCTTCAGCTTTTGTTGTTCATTAAGTCTTTTCAGCCTTCTCCTTTCCCCCTCCTTCCCCCACCTGGCCCAGGTAGCAGGTGTGCCGAGGCTGGAGGAGGACATTGCATTTCCTCTCAGGCCCAGCCTGGTCCTACCTAGGCTACTCCCCCAGGTCTGGGAGAACTGGATGGAGGTCCAGAGGGTGGGGAGGTTCCTCCAGCCTGTGTTTTAGCAGAAGCAAAGATCAGACCAGACGGGGAGAGGAGGTGGCGGACTAGGTACAAAGAGTGTGGCCTGGGAAGGTTATGGCAGAAGGAGCTCACTCTGGGAGGCCAGCCATCTCCCCACATCTCCTGTGTGTGCGTGTGTGTGTGCACGTTTGTGTAAAATGCAGGGGAGCCTGAAGAAGAGTCAACACACACACACACACACACATGCATACATAAGCTTTTCCTCTGAAATGCAGTCCCAGCCTGGAGGAGGGCAGGACTTGGTCTAGAATATAGTGACCTTGCCAAGGGCAAGGTGACAACTTCTCTGGGAGGAGGAAGGCCCTTACAAGGGCCCTTGTAAGGGTTTTTCAAAGTGCTGCTCATTTGATCTCCTCACCTAAACCATGAGGCAGGAAGGGCGGGGTTTGCCATCTCCGTTTCCCAGGCCAGAGGCCAGTCTTCCATAGTGTCCTTCCTGGCTGGATCACATCCCTACACAGCTGGGGCTGGGCTGGACCCTGGCAAAATCTCTGCCAGCATCTGCATTCATCCTGAGAATGAAGACCATCTGTGCTCTGTAGCCTCCAGCTTGAGCCAAGGGCTCTAGCTTCATTCTTGGACACATAACTCATGCCTACTGTATACAAGGTCGTTCCCTGCTGCCCCCAATTGCTTCCCTCCATCCTCCCACCCATATATTCCTCTATCCCTCTGCCCTAACATTCAGATATTGGAAATCCAGTTATTCAGCAGCCACCAGGGACCCTTTCTGGCATGCAAATTGAATGAGCACGCTTTGAAATCCACACAAATGTGAATGTGACTCAAAGAAGTTCACAGTCTCGGGAGGAGAGTTGGCAGTGTAGACAAGCAAGCAAATGGTGACATCAGTACAATGAAAGGGCTGAGGCTGGGGGAGCTGTTAAGTCTGCCTGGCCCAGAAGCAAGTGCTATTCTTCTGTCTGTGTAGAAGTTTGGCCAGTCTAGGAGAAAGGAGCAAGTGGAAAGAGCTAAAGGAAAGAAGGAACCTGGAATACCCAGAGAATAAAAAGAAATTACCAGTGACTAGACCAGAACTGGGAGTGAAGAGACAGAAGAGGCACCCTGGGAAAGATGACTAAAGAGTGGCTTGGTTGGATTAGCAAGGGCCTTGCTGTTGAAGTCACTGATGATTCTGATCAGAAGAGTTTGGTCCTTGCACTCTGACGAGGAAAAATCCAAGCAGAACACATGGATGTGGTGAGAGAAATAAGGAAGTTTTATTATAGCAAAGAGGGAAGATGATACAGGTGGGGTTTTGCCAAGTGGAACACCGCATGCGGGAAAAAAAGGGGAGAATTTTATTCTGGGCCTTTTTATATCATCCTTAACTTGGAGGTGGGGAGAAGACCGGCATCCTCCCCATCCTTCTGGCCAGGGGGAAGATCTGGCAGATTCATGCATAGACCCATGCTAATCCTCAGGTACCATGAGGGAGGAAATTCCCACCCTAATTTAACCTAACAAAAGATTTGCAATTGGAATGAAGATCTCTGGGCTGAGAGGGGATGGGTCAGGGAGGGCTGAGCAAGGTGCTCTAAATCAGGATGTATGGTTTTTAAAAGTCCCCAACTTTCTCTAATGTCTAGTCTGCCTCATTGCTACTCATCTAAGAAGTAGTCTGGACTCTTCAATAGACTCTTCAATAGAGCACACACACACACACACACACACACACACACACACACACATACACACCAAGAAATATACATATATATGTAGTATTAGTCCCCCCATCCTTGACAGATACAGCCTGAGGCCCCCCAGTGGATGCCTGAAACCTAAATGGTAATGGATATATATATCTTATATAGATATATGTTCACTATGGTTTCTCCTATATATACAAACCTATGATAATTTATAAATCAAGCACAGCAAGAGATCAGCAACAGTAGCCAGTAAAACAAGAGAACAATTATCGTAATATATTGTAATAAAATTGGAAGCATCGGTAATGATGCTTGGGCTTCATGGCCATTATTAAATAAAATAAGGGTTACTTGAACACCAAGCCTGCAATACCATACAGTCGACCTGATAACCAAGGGAGCTTCTAAGTAACAAACAAGCAGGTACTGTATCAGTGTGGATATGCTGGACAGAAGGTTGATTCATGTCTCAGGACGAACTGAACAGAGAGAGATTTCATCGCCTCAGAATGGTATGAAATTTAAAACTTAGGAATTATTTCTAGAATTTCTATTTAATATTGTTGGACCACAGTTGAACAGCTGAAACTATAGAAAGTGAAACTGGAGATCAATGGGGACCACTCTATAATGATATATGAATTTATGTATGTGTGTGTCTTAGACTTCTGGCATCAGGCTAAACAACTGTGGTTAGATGCTGGAGAACTAACAAACGGAACAGGAAAAAGGTCACAATAAAGTAATTGTACTTGAAGTCTCCCGTGTAATTAATTATCATGTAGCACAAAGGATATTATCCGCATTCGTCTATGTGTCAGATTGTTTGTTTTGATGACACACTGAATTCCCTTTCTGGAATTTGTCTTCCCTGTTTCGATTTTTTGTTCCTTTCTCTTTCTATTTACTGTATTAATAGTCATATGACCCAAACCTCAAAAAAGCAGAAGGAATTTTGACCTGATATGCTTCCTTTCACTAAGTCTTAGCACTGTCCTTGGGAAGGTGCTGGCACAGCACGAAGGAAATCCCAGCTTTTATTATACTGCGGGTTTGGGGATTGCATATATTGCACCAGCCAGTGAAATTTTTCTTTTCCCTTACAAGTATCTCAACGTTACACAGCCAACTTTATCAACCCAATAATAGCTCAGCTTAGTCACAACCGCTGAAGTTTTATCTAGAGCTGTTTCCCGCCGCATTTCCCCTTTATTGGAGGAAGATGGTGAAATTCAGACCAGGGGTCTGGGACTACGCTTCCCAGTGGCCTCCGCTGGGCGCTGACTCCAACCTCCCTTACAGGGGTGGCCCCTGGCATTTTGGCCCTGCCCATACCCGGCACCCATATTATGAACTACAATTCCCAGGTGCCTCTACACGCCCAACCCTTGAAAGAGGGTTTCCCAGCAGTCTCCGGGGTAAAGAGCCCGGCCCCAGGGAGCAAGCCCTTAGGCCCACCCAGAACCTTCCGCCCGCCCCGCCCACACCACGTGGCAGAGCCTCGCCAACCGGGGCGGGGAGGCGGGCGGCAGGCGGTGGCAGGGGGCTGGGAGGCCACGGAGGCGGGGCGGGCCGCGGAGGGGGCGGAGCAGGGCCGGGTAGCCCAGCAGCCTGGCAACGGCGGTGGCGCCCGGAGCCTGAGGTGGGTTCGTGTTCTCTGCTATCCTGGCTCTGAGCCGGGCGCTGCGGGAACTCGTGATGGGGGGTCCGGGAGGAGGAAGTTGGGGCTCCCCGAGTCGGCAGGTCGTGCGGGGCCTCACCGCACCAGCGAGGGTGTGGGTGGGGTTCGCCGGAACGCCTTCGCTGTCCCCGGGGCAGGGCTGAGGCCAGGGAGCAGCAGGCAGGTGCTTCTGGCTTCCCCCTTCTCCCCGCCCTAGGTCCCCAGCTGCCGGCGGGCGAAGGTCGGGACTGGAATCAGGGCTGGAGGGGCGGGATACGGGGGACGGACGTCGCAGCCGCTGCTTATACTTTTCTTCCCTGTCCCGGAGAGGCAAGCGGGCCGGGCGGCCGCCCTCCTCCCCGGCGACGTGCTGCGACCGGTCCTCGCCCTGGCCCTCCCGCTCTGGGTGGGCACCCGCCCCATCTCCCGTGGGTCCTGCAGAGTGGCAGCAGGCCGGCACTGACTGAGAACCCCTGGTTGTCGCTCTGGATCACTGTTTCTGTGTCACATACGGGGGTTATCTGTTTTTGCAACAGTTAAGGGAAGATCTGAGAAGGAACGGTTAGTTCCCTGATACGCAGTCGGAAGTATGCACAGGCACTAGCAAGCACTCTTGGCTGGGTTGCCTCCCTTAACTGTCTTTTGCTACGTTCAGGAAGTGAAAACTAATTTTAGTATTTGCCTAAGCAAATATAAGTGAATCTGCTGCACAAAATATATTGTGGGCTTTATGGATGCATACAAGATATGATACGAAGTGGGTTGTGACTGGTTTTTAAAGCAGATCTTCACTAGAGTGGAACCATAGCATTTTAGAATTGACTGGGACCTTAAAGTTTACAGTTCATTTGTTTCCTGCATGAGAGAACTGAGATTCAGGGAGGCTAACTAATGCGACCCGGGCATCAGGCAGCATCATGCCAAAGCTATTACCACAAGCCAAGTCTCTGGAGGTATGTTGGTGTCTGCCTAGTTTGGGATCTTAGTATTACAGCTCGGTTTTATGACTTGTGAGGTAGCTACTTAGAATTTTGAGACTGAGCCAGAACTTTTGCTATAGTTCAAGCCGGTTTGGATTTCCTTCAAAACCAGTTCACTAGCCAATGAGACAATCAGGCTTGTTACTTTGTAGACACATTTGCTTTCATCCATCCCATATACTAGGCAGGATCACGTGTTCATCACAACTCCGAATGACTTCTGGCTGTTTTACAAAATCAAATCTACCCTTAAGAGACTTCACACCAGGGAGGAGGCTAGAACTGGTGGTGCTGCCTGCATGACCAGTGTATACAGCAGGCGCCTCAACTATTTGAAAGTGGATGACACTCATTGGGGATTACAGATTATAGTATGGTTACTAGGTGATTGGTCTCCTTACTTTAAAGTTCTAGCTTATAATATCAAGTTGTTAGTGGTTTCATTCACTCATTAAGCTCTGTGCCCACAGTGTCCCAAGTGCTGGGAAGACAGCAGACAGCACTACTAATGAGACCTTATGGAGTTTATTATGGGGTGGCAGCAATAAAAAAAAATAAGCCATGATGTGTTATTTTCTGGCAGAGGTGAGCACTGTAAAAAAATAGAACTGAAAGTGTACATTAACAGTAAAAGAGGATGGGCATGATTGAGAGTGGCTTGGGCATCACTTTGAATTGCTAGTTTTAGATTGTCAACTCTTGCTCCATTAAACATAGAAAGTCGAAAAGTAAGTCTATCTGAATCCAAGAGATTGTATGGCATCATCACCTTCTTCCCAAGTGCCTTTTGATAAGTGATCACAGCTTCAATTTTACTTGTATTATGCCCCCCTTAAATGCAAATAGTAAGTGATTTCAAATACCTAAGGGATGTCATTTTCAAGTCCCTCACTGTTTTCACGGCTAGATAGCTCACTCTCTACAGAAGGCTCTGTGGAGGTTGGTATTGGTTGGCGATTTCATGCTAGTGCCTGTTGGACTCTCAGGCTCCCTTACACACTGGTTTTTCATCTTGTATGTTGGTGTATATTGTGAACCTGTTATCTGAAATGATCGTCAATCCTTGTATTGTGTGGCTTGTAAAGAAACTAACTCATTTTGAGATAGCTCCAGAGTCAAGAAGCACTAAAGTTCTTAGGAACACGAGCACTCGCTAATAAGATGGCGTTAATGAGACTCACTGTAAAACTTCATTCGTTTAGTATCACTCATTTCATGTTCTGTGTGTTCAGTGGCTTCCAAGCAAATTTTACAGGTTCTGAAAATGATTGAAGTTGCAAGTACTCCAAGACGAGAAGGGGATTAACAAAATGTAGTCTCTTTAGAAACCAGTGAAAACACATGGCTCTTGCTCTTTATTGAGGGCCCCAAAACAAAGAGAAAAGCGGAGCCCTGAGAGGGCGACATTTTTAACCAGTGGCCGGATGATTTCAAAGGTTGGAGTTTCTAGTTACTTCTAAAGATTTTTCAACTTTATAACAGAATGATAGGTTGTTTTCATTATTCTTTAGTTGTTTTCCTTCCCTGTTTTTGAGCTCTTTGAAGTTCTGCTTTCTTTGTTTTCTAGTTTCTTAGTTCATTTATTCCTTTTTGGCAGATGAGGGGACAGGAACTGTCATTTGCCTATAAGATGTGGACTCTGGATTGGGCAGTCTCCCCAGATTTGAATTCTGGCTCTGTTATTACTTATGTGACTGAGTTACTTAACTCCTGTACCTTGGTGTCTGGACCTGAAAAATGAACATACTAATATTATTACTAGTACCTTCTCAAAGGGCTGTAGGGAAGACTGAGGGAATGATCTGTATTTAGTGCTTAGAATAGTCTTACACATCTTAGACACACAACAAAAGTTAACTACTATGTACTTGAACTGTGTGGAACACTTTTACTTTTCAAGAAAAAAAAGATCCTAGCTATGTCCTAATAAACTTTTGAAAATCCAGTGAACCATATTTTCTAGACATTTCTGTGCATTTGATTGTTGGTGTGAGCCTTTGATTTCAGATGGAATTGGCTGCAGGGTCCTCAGTTCTTGCAATGCTAAATTCTCTTTGCTGCTTGGGTTTAAAAATTACTTGGGGCCATATTTTGTTTGTTACCACAAACAATAATAGAACAAGAGAGGCCTACTTTGAACTCCTCTGCTTTGTAGTTGGAGGATGGTCTTTCACTGTAAATGTTTGCAGTGTGTTTTTCCATAGTGATTACTGTGACAGTCTCGTCCCTTTTAAGAATGTGGAAGCATCTCTTCAGAAAACTGGCATCATGGATGAGTGCTTTCTTTCTGTGTCTGCCAGAGGAACAGTGAGTAGTAAATGAACCTGCTGTCTGTGTGAGGTTGGTAGGAAGCTTCCTGTGTTTGGACTCTGGAACTGGGTTCAGGTTCCAGTTCTCCTTAACACTGACACCCAACAAGTCATTTTCCCTCCATGCTGGTGGCTCTTGCATTTGTAAGATAGTGCTAATGAAAACCCACCCTGCTAAGCATCCAGAGTTCTTCAGAGTCTCAAATGTGCGTCAGAGCCCTTTGTAAACTGTGTAGCATTACCATTATTGCACTCGTGTGTTATAAAAGCCACTGCTATTTGGAGAACTAGTGTAAGAGGGCAGCCGTCCTTCCTGTTCTTGGCTCATCTCCCTTATAACTGTAGGTGGGGCTCTGCCTCAATCTCCCTCTTCTGTCAGCATTGAAATATGCAGTGTTTTATTGCTTTGCTGAAATGGACCTGAAGCCATTGGTTTACATTCAAGTTTCTGTTTCATTTAGTCCTACAATGGTAGTACTGTAGAACCAATTCCAGGGAAATACAAGGTGATTCCTGCATCAGGGAGTTTTTCCCGGCTCTTTCCTGAGTGTCTGAGAATGGGACTCTTACCTTTTTCCCAATCAAGACTTGACTGCAGCTCCTCAGCCAGCTTGAGGGCCTACTGCTTCCAGTCCATACCAGACTGGATGTATGTCTGTGCTCCCAAGTGAGGATGAAATGTGATTCGGGCCCTGGAGAAGAGATCCAGGGATGTGATTGCTCCCTGGGTCAGTACCACCTTTTGTGCTCACATACTACAGAGGCCTGAGTTTCATTTTCTTAGTACTTGAATTTGTCAGTATCTTGAAATGACTATAAGAAACTCTTTGCAATTTCATATGTTTAGCTTGGTATTACTGTTCCTTGACTTGTCTTGATAGGTAACTCATATTTCAGTTTCTTTTTTTCAACTTCCAAGCTTGTAATAAAGAGGGCTAAGGTCTGAGACATTTTTCTGGGTGTGAGAAACCTAACATGGCCCAATGCACACAGTAGACATTTAGTAAACATTCATTGACTTGACCCGGTGGGGGAGGGGCAGCTTAGAATCATTTGGACAAGTTCCTTTTAATCATTCTGTGGTGTGTCTAGGGATCGTTGCCCCTTGCTTGGAACCTGAAATGGAACTCGCATAGCAAATGAATAAGAAAGTTGTTTGGAGCCAGCAGCGGGAGAGGTCTCACACATTGCTTTGTCACCCTTTTCTTCCAGCTTCGTGATGTTTGGACCATGCTTGTGCAGTTTAAGTATAGGTTACTTTTTACTTTGCTTGGTATGTTGAGGTGAGAAGGGGTAGGGGAAGTTGAAGAGCAATCACTGAAAGCAAAAATAAAAGTAACTTTTGTAACACATTCAGCTCTTCTCTCCTTGTATAAGCCTTGACCACACACAGTGGTGCCCTTTCTTTAGCAAGTGATAATGGTTTGGTTTTGACATAATGTCAGCATGGGGCGGTGGCACTTTACATTCCCTTCCATGACCTTTCAATTCCTTTATGGCCCTGAGATTACTTAGGTGGGGATTAGGAGAAGGGGGACTGAACTTAATTCCAGCAGCTCTGGAATTGGCCCCATATGTTTTATTGAAATAAGAAATGTGCCTGTACTATGCCAGTGATCCCTGGCCATAATGCAAAATATGCCCCTGGTGAGTGCTGTTTATAGGCAAAATTTGCTCTGCAGGGTACTGCCATTAACACTCGCTATGTGGCCAATAGTATCTAAGGAATCCCAGCCAATATTCCATTTTGGCTTTCCTGGATCTGAGGTGTTGCTTGCACATGTCAGTGGTTCAGGATCTGGGAGAGAAAGCAGGTGCCCCACTGCTGTCAGAGGGAGGCCTGTAGGAGCCTGCCCCCACCTCTCTGGGTCCCTTGCTGGCGCGAGAGTATGGAGTTTTTTTCAAAAGTTGAGACTGATTGTGTCTCGGCCTTTTGGCTAAGATCTAGTGCACAGTTGAGACTCAGTCTCATCCTGCAGGACATTTCCTTTCTTCCTATTATTAACTCCAGTCATTTCCCTTGAGGTTGTCATCACTGCTGTGTCATGAAACAGTTTCTCTTTGTTGACAAAGCTGTCTGGATGCCCTTACTCCTAGCCACAATAAGAAAATAGGTGAAACAAATTAAAAATAAATTGATAGTACTGGGGTTTGAACTCAGTGTCACACTTGCTAGGCAGATACTCTACCACTTGAGCCACACCTCCACCCTTTCAAATTTTATATATTCTATTGAGCGTGCAAAATACTGTCATTTCGACATGTAATCAATCTAATAGCTATGAGCTAGTCCCCTTTTTTTGCACTAAGCTGTTGGGCTCCTTTGTGTAGTGTGTTTATGGCACTTACCTATTTGGACTAGCCACACTGCCCATGGTCAGGAGTTGCAAGTACCAGTTGCTACAGTCTGAGACAGCACGGCTTTGAGTGACACCTTTTGGCCTTGATTTGCAGATGATTTCATTAGATAGGCTGTCAATGCCCGACCAGCTGCCTCAGTAATAACTTACATTACTGTGAGGCGTAGTCTTTGCCAAGCCCTTAGCCCATTGCTTTGACATAATGTCTCATTTGAGTCGTTACAACATGGCTTTGAGGTAGAAGTGATTAATCTCCTCACTGCCTTTCTTCCAGAATGCTTAGGTCGAAGTGCATCTAGGAAGCAGCAGCCTCAGAACCAGAGCCCAGGTGAGGTCAGCATCACGGCCTCTGGCACACCTTCCTGCAGCTCTCCTGGCCACAGGGTCTCTTCTCAGTAGTGGCTTTGTAAGCTTTCTTAAGAAGGCACTGTGGATATACACGTGGAATGGGTGCTTTTTTCTTGAGGGGAATGGCAAAGAGCTCGAAGGGTGTCTGTCTTCTCTGTCTCTTTAGAGGGGGCGCGGAGACTCAAAATAGAAGTCTCCTCGTCTATGGGCACGCTACAGACCGGTGGTTTACCGCTTGCTGCTCGTCAGAGGCACCTGGGGATTTTTAAATACTTGCTGCTGAGCCCCACCCACAGACATTCAGGCTTAATTAATCCGGGGTGAAACTGACGGGCATGGGCATTTAAAGTCCTCTGGGTGAGTGTGGCCGCAGCTCGGCTGAGAGCTGCTGTAGGAGCACTTCTCCACCTTCACTGGAGTTCCACATTGCCTGGACTTCCAAAGGGAATGCAGGCCTTGCCTCAGCGAGAGGCAAGAGAGCCCTCCCTTGTCGCTCACAGCAAACTCCTGGATGATGCCCTGCTGCAGATCTGTGGGTCACACTTGGAGTAATAAGTGGCATCAGAATCACCTGAGGCTTTTGCAGCGCTACAAGTGCCCTGGCGGTATGCCTGGAGTTTCTGATTCAGAAGGTCTGGGCTGCAGCCCAGGGTCTGTATTGGAGGTGTGTGTTTTCAGTGTTTCCTGGTGAACTATTGTTTACTTTAGGTTCTGTGTAAATGCGCCTTTTATGGTGTGCATTTTGGGGGTCATAAATAGATGTTGAAGTTGTTTTTGACACAGGGTCTTGTCATTATCCATGCTGGTCTCAGACCTGTGATCTATCCTCTTTGCCTTAGCCTCTTGAGTGCTGGGATTACAGGTGTGCACCACCATACAGGTCCCCATCAACCCCCTTTTATGCCTTCATGGATGTGTGTGTATGGTTTTTTTCATGATTTTGTGTATATATATATATATATATATATATATTCTTTTTTTCGCTCCTTGAACTTGTTGATATGGTGGGTGATTTTTAAGGGGTTTTTAAAATTTTGGTTTTGTTGGTTTTTTTGAGACAGGATCACAGTGTGTAGACCAGGCTGGCCTCTAACTCACAATTCCCCTGCCTCAGGGCGGAGTGGGTGGTAAGGGAGGGGGTGGGGGCAGGGGGAAGAAATGACCCAAGCCTTGTATGCACATATGAATAATAAAACAATAAAAAAAAA